CGTTGACTCTCCCAAAATCATTCCCCCTTTCGAATAGCTCTTGTTTGACTATTGAATAGTAATTTTTAAAACAATACTTAGATGAAATTTTTTTGAATTTACATACAAAATATTTTATTTGATTAATGTATTATTGGAAATTAGTACATAAAAAAAAAAAAAAGAATTTTCGAGCAATGGTTATCATACCGGCTTGAGTATTCTTATATTAATCTTTAGCCCCTTTTTGTTAGTCTTTTTTTTTTTGGAAAAACATTATTTTGAATAATGAATTTTTTAAGAATGCGTCGTTAAAAATTAAGAAAAATATTTATTTACGTGTAAAATATTTTATTGTGTGAATATGTGATTGAAAATGAGTACGTAGAAAAAATAATTTTGAAATAGTAGAACACGAACACAATAATAGTTCTTTGCTGAACCAAAAATATTTACCTTTTATAGTAGGGAAGTTATGACTCTGATTCTGTAGCAAGTGTGTCATTCAAGTTTTAAAAGTCGAACTTATAATATGCAAATTTGAGATCACCTAAAGATGTACGAAACGTGATCCTCAAATTTGTCTACTTTGAATTTAACTTAACGTGTAATAGTTACATAGTTCTTCATAAAACTGTTAAAATGATCGCTACAGTTTTTTGAAATCTCCCAATTCACACACAATTATTCATACAACCTATCTTGTTCAATACCGTAATCACTTATACATCCAATTATTCATACAGCTCATCCCGATTTTTGGCTTCTACGATTCATTTTGAATCCATCAATCTCGTAAAATTATTTGCAGCTTCCTTTTTTTCTTAGTATTCGGGCTATTTTATTCCTTTTTTATCAATTGTTGTTTTCGAGTAAACGTCAAATTATATTTTTCTTCAAATTGAGATCGTGCTTGCATGGTTTTGAAAGGTTAGAGACCTTCACGCCATAATTCATAGGTCAAAGACATGGTTGTCACATTTATGAGATGTTCTAACCGAGTTTTTTTCCTTTAAAATAACACGGGAATTGGAGCATATGTCCCTAAACTATAGCCTATATAGTTAGAGCCATAATCTTTATTTTCAAATTTTTACATTTTTGAATAGAGTGGACATTTTAACTGAAATTGAAGGTTTTGATTTGATTTCAAAGAAAAAAAAATTAAGAATCGAAATCTAGAACTGAGAACTATTTGGGTTCGGGTTCTTGAAATGAAATTGTGGGTGTCCGACTCGAAACATAATTTTGCATGTTATAAATTGACAATTTATTTAGTCGACTCAATGATCGATCCAACAAATAGCAATTTTACAAGGTCCCTAATAAATCTGATTCTTTAATTTGAATAATTGAGTCATAACACTTTCATTCATAGCCATTTTGATCATGCTTTACAAGATGACCACCCCCACCATCCATTTTGAGGCTCTGCACACAGAGTTACAGTCGAGATTGAATACTATTATGCTAGATATTGAATGTTATTTGATGACATGCTTGTAGTGGATTAAAAAAAAAATGTTGAAATATGTATATTGTAAGATAATTTGTATTATCAACTCACAATTTTTAACATAAAAGATTTGGGTATAATCGAATCCGAATTTTCGAAGGATCTGGTTCGAGTTTGGTTTCGATATTAGGTGTTATTGAATGGTTATATTTATGAAATACTTGAACTATAGTAGGTGATTTTAGGGATGACAATTCGAACTGTTAAAATCGAAAATCGCGGTTAATCGATCCGAATGGGGCAAAAAAAATCGAATCGATGGTGCAATGGGGCGGTTATTGTATTGATTTCAACGAACCGCTTCATTTAGGGGCGGGTATAGTATTTAGCTACGNATATAGTTAGAGCCATAATCTTTATTTTCAAATTTTTACATTTTTGAATAGAGTGGACATTTTAACTGAAATTGAAGGTTTTGATTTGATTTCAAAGAAAAAAAAATTAAGAATCGAAATCTAGAACTGAGAACTATTTGGGTTCGGGTTCTTGAAATGAAATTGTGGGTGTCCGACTCGAAACATAATTTTGCATGTTATAAATTGACAATTTATTTAGTCGACTCAATGATCGATCCAACAAATAGCAATTTTACAAGGTCCCTAATAAATCTGATTCTTTAATTTGAATAATTGAGTCATAACACTTTCATTCATAGCCATTTTGATCATGCTTTACAAGATGACCACCCCCACCATCCATTTTGAGGCTCTGCACACAGAGTTACAGTCGAGATTGAATACTATTATGCTAGATATTGAATGTTATTTGATGACATGCTTGTAGTGGATTAAAAAAAAAATGTTGAAATATGTATATTGTAAGATAATTTGTATTATCAACTCACAATTTTTAACATAAAAGATTTGGGTATAATCGAATCCGAATTTTCGAAGGATCTGGTTCGAGTTTGGTTTCGATATTAGGTGTTATTGAATGGTTATATTTATGAAATACTTGAACTATAGTAGGTGATTTTAGGGATGACAATTCGAACTGTTAAAATCGAAAATCGCGGTTAATCGATCCGAATGGGGCAAAAAAAATCGAATCGATGGTGCAATGGGGCGGTTATGATTTTGATTTTAATGAACCGCTTCATTTAAGGGCAGGTATGATATTTAGCGATGGTGCCCAGCCCTGAACCGATTACCCATTAAAAAAAATTTAATTGGACAATTAGGCTTTCCATTATTCTTTCTTAAAATTAATTGGACAATTTTGACAATTGAGCTTCCCAGAATTCTGGCCCAATTAACATTAAGTAAACCTTAACCCAATAACCCAACCACTGCCCAGGTAGCCCAATTTCAATATACCCTACACGTTAAATTAAAACCCAGGTTTACGGTCTCCAGACTACACTTCTCCTCCACTCAAATCCACCGCCTCCCTCGCCAGTTCTGGTTATGGTATAGTTTCTCGAATTCAAATCATTCAATTCTTAAATCACATCAATGTTACTTTCTGTTGATAAATTGTATTTTCTCTTCATCAAATCAATGATTAGTGTATCATAATTCTGTTTATTTTAATATTTATACATTGAAATGTTAAGTATTTAAATAACAGTATTGATTTATATAGTTTTTTAGTTTATTCTGCTTCTAGGATTATGATAACGTTGAATAAACCATTTTAATAAAAATACATTGATTGGTGGCGCAGATGTCTTACCATGGGTCGGCGTCTTCTATTCCGACTCCTCCCACTTCACTAGGAAGTGCTTCAATTGAAGTTAGAAATACTGCTACTGGCATTCAAGAAAATTAAATTTCTCATTTACTATATAAGAATCAATTTTGAGTCATGACTCTTAACCATGCTAGTAAGAGTTGTGGGGAAGAATGAATTGATCTATACTAGTAAGAGTCTTGGCCTATGTTGATAATGTTGTTTGTTAAATTCGAATTTTGCATTTGAAAGTTAGGATATTGTTTGTATTTTCATTTAGGATATTGTTTGTTAAATTGACTTAGTATTGTTTTTCGTTTTTTTTTTACTTTTCTTCATAATTTTTTTTTTCACTTTGGAGTTTGGACTTTAAAAAATAATTTATTTTCATGGTTATTAACCGAACCGAACCGAGATACGAACTGAACCAAACCGACTTACGTAGTTATGGTGCGGTTATGGTATGATCAAAAATTTGATGGTGCGGTTATGATTTTGGCCAAACCGAACTGTTGCCATCTCTAGGTGATTTCGAGTATTGCAATACCTAGATCGATTCATCTGATTTCTAGACATGCCTATTCAATTTGATTGCATTGTCCCGTGATTGAAAAAAATCATGAACGAGCAATGGGAAATGCTATTTTATGAGTAAACACATATATTTTTTTCAATAATAGAGAAAAAACAAGAAAGAAACTAATTTGCTTCTCCCTCGTCTAATGGCATCCAAACCTTATAACTCACCCCAGTCGTGCTCTCTAGTTTTTTTTTTCTTTTTATTTTTCTTCTCCCAATCAGAAGGACAATACAATAAACTAAACAATGGCGTATTTTTCCTAATTTTATTCCTTTAAAAAAGAACTCCATTTTGTCACTTATGTCAAAATAAAAAATCAACTTCCTAAAATTCTGAATTATGTACACCAAGAATTTTTCTTGTAAAAATTTCATAGAATTCTAAACCCGAAAATGGTCCAACTAAGCTTGATAGTAGGGTAGCACGCAGAGTTGCCCCTATGTACATAAATTATGTACACCAAGAATTTTTCTTGGTAAAAATTTCCTAGAATTCTAAACCCGAAAACGGTCCAACTAAGCTTGATAGTAGGGTAGCACGTAGGGTTGAACTTTTTAAACGTACACTAACCTTCTTGTTCATTCTTCGTTTTAGTTTCGTTTATTCAACAAATCAAAGCTAGTTTACTTAAATAATTTATTTCGTTTGTTGTTGGAGTCCACTTTATTATTTGTTATAGTTCGTTCACTTGTGAAATATAAAATCGACAGCGTCATACACTCAGGAATCTAATACATACATTAAGTATCTATTTGGTAGAGATTAAAATCAAATTTTTAGTATATTTTAATAAAAATTGATGGAATGTGTGATTGAAAAATTGTGGGACCCATAAAATATGTCATTAAAATTAATTATTGACTTTGATTTAGATTAAATTCTGAATTTTAATAGACGTCAAACGAGGCTATCCGGTACTTGAGGAGGAGGTCTTCTTCGCTTCCATTGAGCTGGATCGGGATGTCTAAATCCAATTACAATTTACAAGAAGCCGTGAATCTCCATATTTTTTAAATCCACATATTCAGGTATATGTCTATTTTATCTAGCACTTCGAAAACGGTGTCAACTACCCGTAACACACTCGTACTCGTACTGAAGTCGAAAGTCCCGCGTTGTGCTTCGATTGCCTAATTGTGGCCACTCAAGAAGTACGTTATCCACACCGAAATGAATCCAAAAGAAAATATATCCGTATAAGGATAGAATGATTATAAAGTCAGAAATGATTCTGGTAGGGAACGAAAGATAAACATGGCAGTTTCATCGCTCACATTGAGCTTCGCCTCAACAGCCTTAACGAACAGGGTCGGTGTATTTTACTTCAATTAATAATGAATGCCATGTTTCTCTTTATTCTGCATTTATAATTCCAGTGATTTAATCCTTTCTTCAGCTATACGTGCGTGATTCAACAAGCACCGCATTGACTTCACGGCGTATTATTGCGTGCTCAAGCAATACGTCTTCTGACGAAGCAGAAGGTAAAAATTCCCATTCATTTTTTTTTTCCGGATTATACCAATAGTTTGTTCTACTGGGGAGGTGGGTTAAAACTTAAAAGCAAATGAGTAGTTCCTCTGCAAAAAATTCATAACATTTTCCATCAAATTCTCGTAATTATCTTGCTAACAGTTTTAGAAAGGGTGTTTTTTTAATGTTGATTTTGTATTTGCAACATTATTAGTGACTGAGAAGAAAAAATAAAGAAATTGTCGAGGGCCTGTAAAGTGCTGCATCTGTCATACATTTACCTAGGTGTGGATTGTCGAAGACAAGAATTAAATGACATACGTGTGAAATTTTCTAAGAACTTGGGTTCCGGTCTCGTTATTACTCATTTAATGAAATTGTACATGCGTCCGACTATGATTGACTAATTACATTCATGTATGAACATATAATCATGAGTTGTTTTGTGGCTTTGAAGACATTCTGATGCAACAAGGAAACAGGAATATGAGAGGCTTTCTTTGTCCACATAGATTAGAATTGGATTTGTTTATCCTATACATGTTATTGGAGTTGCTTTTCTCCCATCCAAACAGGAACTGTCCAATCCTCTTTGATATCCTAGCTCCTTTGTAATTTGGTTCAGCCCCAGTTTCTGAGATAGTCATGAACCATAATTCATTTGATGAGACTTTAAATTTTGGTAGTCTCACTATTTACATTATTTGTAGGAAATTTCAGTTTTAATATACACTTTTGTTTTATCTCCTACTATATATTTTGTAGGGGATTTGGAATTGATTGTAGAGTACTCTTTGGAATGTTTCCATTTTGTTTAGTGAAGTTATTCTTTTCTGTGTCCATGGTTGTAGGCTTAATTGCCGAAACTTGTAAATTCTGTGTGTTTACTCTCTCTAATTTTCTTTATAACAGCTAGTTTAAATGTTTCAGGAAAATGTAAAAGGAGGACAATTGCGATTGGAATAGGAGCCCTGTCGTTGAATTTGTTCCCAGCACGTCCGCTTTTGGCAGAAGGTATCACGGTCGGTAGCAATTTCTCACTTTTTTATTGGAGGCGTAGGCAATTACTTTACCAATATCTATTTTGGAGCAATTTTGTGCTTTTCATTTATAACACTGCAGATAGAGTCATTTTCTTTGACATTTACAGATCGGAAGACAGTACTTATTCCTTTAGATATGTGTCTAATTCATCTTTACTCCACAGTTAAATAATGTTCATGGCCGATGTTCCCGGAAAATTGCTGAACTCATATTCTATCAAACAAGAAATTGAATGTAACCTGTGTTTTTGCATATTTTATCCTTAAATATCTTCGAACATCGTCAAATGGGTTTTTTTCTTTGCTCTTATGTTCACGAAGAGACCAATACCGGTGATGGATTTAATGCTATCCATTTCTTACTCTTCTGTTTCACTCAACTTTACATTCGCAGGAATACCAGAGAACTATGTAGCCTTTGTTGACAAAATAGATGGCTATTCATACTATTATCCCTCGGATTGGAGAGTAAGTTCTAATGACAACTGAGTTGTGATATGATAAGCTTTTCTAATATTCTTAAAGTCTGATTATTCGTTCAGGAATTTGACTTCAGAGGTCATGATTCTGCATTTAAAGACAGATATCTCCAACTGCAAAATGTTAGATTGAGTTTTATACCAACAGATAAAACAGATATCCATGATTTGGGTCCAATGGAAGAGGTAAATCCTATCATTTTCAGATCTCATGTGTATGTGTGCATGTTTTGAAGATTGTTTTAAGGGTTTCCTAATAAGATTTCTTTGCTTGAAGGTTGTCTTAAATCTTGTAAGAAATGTTTTCTCGGCACCAACTCAGGTAGACAATATAGTGGATATGCAAGAGGTATGTTGCCTCTCCGTGCTCAACTATCAGATAGATCACTCTTTTATTTTTTTTACTTCTGTTACACTTTCAAGAAAATTCATGAGTAATTTAGTTACATAAGGCTCCAAAATTGTTCCTCTATTTTCAAGTTAATCTCCATTCTAGGTTGAGATGGACCGTATGAAGCGTAATCATAATTATACACTTTCTCCTCTACCAGATCAACCTAATATTTCTTTTATAGGTTATATTAGACCGTGTGGTAAACTTTTTATTATAGGAGTATTAAGCCCCTGTTTGACAACCATTTTTTGACGAAAATAGTTTCAAATAGTGATTTTTTGGAGAATGCGTGGTTAAAAAGTAGAAAAAGCTTTGAATTTACGTGCAAAATATTTTATTATATGAATGTGTGGTTGAAAATAAGTATGTAAAAAAAGAGTTTGAAAATAATAGTTGGCAAACAGGGGCTAAATATTATTACGTCCGCATAATGTTCCTACAATATATAGGGTGAGGTGCAGGAAAATCTTGTATTCTTCTTTTTCGTTATAATGAAAGCACGTAGTGGGAAGAGGACATAACTCATTGAGGGTGAACCACTATAGAATTGTTGTGCTGCTGTGCTTTACTTGTTATTGCATTTTGATCTGTTTATTATAGCTTTTCTGAATAGATGTTATGGCATAATCCTTGTCAGGTTGCGCTATCATATAGATATTTTATCATTATTATCTATATAAAGTTCATCCAGCTCAATATTTAAAATGCAGAGAACAATTGATGGTAGAACCTATTGCACCTTTGAATACATACTTACATCTCCAAATTTTTCTCGAGCAGCTTTCGCAACAATAGCAATTGGGAATGGTATGATACTGATTCCATCACAAAGTTTCAAACTATTTTAGATTATGCCACTTTCAATCACTTCTAAATGATACGTCTGAACGGGAATTTTTTATTTGGATAACTTAATGCCTTAATTATGTATTTAAAAGAAGGATTTTGTTCAATAATTGCAGAAGTATGATGCCTAAATGACTTATTCTATCACTTAGAAACTGGAATGATGGTTCAAAGTTTTGACTTCTGATCCAAATTTGATTTACTGCTTTGCTTTATTAAAGCTCTCTTTCAGTTTCATTCACAACTAAGGTTTTGGCTAGATATTTGTCGATCACTGTGGAATCCTGCTTGTGGTTAGAGTTCCAGAGTTTTTGGTTCTCTTAAGCTCAGCAATTAGGTACACGCTAAAGTTCATGCCAAAATCCAATCAAATGGACTCCAAAAGTGAAGAAAAACATGACTGGATAAGCTCAAAAATAGTGAACAATTTTCATTTATTTTTTTTGGACGGTAAGAGCATTTTTTGCTGTTTCCATAATTACTGAAAATCACAAAAGAAAAAGAAGAAATGTTTTCTAAAAGCTTCAATTCAAATATGTTTGACAACAAAAGTTACTTGGAAGTAATAAGATTAGCCAAGTGGGCTCTAAGATCCTTGAATAGAATCTACAAATTTAAAAAAAAAAAAAAATCAACTTTGATTCATGAACTACACTCAGAGCTATCTTCTGTTCATATATCTTTATGGAAACTTGGAATTAACTCTACAAAATAATGTATTTTGTGCAGGAAGATACTATACTTTGATTGTTGGAGCAAACGAAAGACGATGGAGAAGAGTCAGGAACAAACTTAAAGTGGTGGCTGATTCTTTCAAGGTTCTGGACATTTAAGTCCTCTGCAAATGGAGCAAACAAGAGCAACTCATAAAGTTCAGCCCAGCTTATTTGATCCTTCATGCCCAGAGAATGCACTTTGTTCTATTTTCAGTAATTAGAGAAGCAGAGGTTTATTCTTCAAGGATGCACGTGGATTGCTTGGCAAAGACATGCCATTA